GTCAGCGCCGTGCTCGACTGGCTCTCTATGTCTCAATAAAAAGGCACCTTAAAATGCGAATTTCCAGACAAACTTTACACCGTTACAAAGCTCTTGAACAGGCCTACAACATACTAAAAATTCAAGTCTTCAGACACAAGACTTTTGGAGAAAATGCAAGACGTAGTAACTAAGTCCTTCCAGTTTAGTTTTGTGCAGTAACTCCCATAGCAAGGCCTGTCAGCGCCGTGCTCGACTGGCTCTCTATGTCTCAATAAAAAGGCACCTTGAAATGCGAATTTGCAGACAAATTTTACACCGTTACAAAGCTCTTGAACAGGCCTACAACATACTAAAACTTCAAGTCTTCAGACTTAAGACTTTTGGAGAAAATGCAAGACGTAGTAACTAAGTCCTTCCAGTTTAGTTTTGTGCAGTAACTCACATAGCAAGGTCTGTCAGCGCCGTGCTCGACTGGCTCTCTATGTCTCAATCAAAAGGCACCTTAAAATGCGAATTTGCAGACAAACTTCACACCGTTAGAAAGCTCTTGAACAGGCCTACAACATACATAAAAATCACGTAATCAGTAACTCCCATAGCAGTAAAACCCAAAACAGTAACTGCCATAGCAACGCCTGTCAGCGCCGTGCTCCACTGACTATCTGTATCTCAATCAAAAGGTACCTTAAAATGAGAATTAGAAGACAAACTTTAGTAGTTGGCAAGCTCTTGAACAGGCCTACAACATACAACAACCAAGTCTGACAGTTTCGTTTTGTGCAGTAACTCCTATAGCAAAGCCCGTCAGAGCCGTATACATTGGATCTTTAATGATAACGGAAATTACAGACAAACTCTACCTTTTTCGAAAGTTGCTTATCAGGGCTATAATATGCAAAACAACCAAGACTTCGGACTTAAGACTTTTTAATAAAATGCAAGATTTAGTAACTTAGTCCGGCTAGTTTTGTTTGTGCAGTTACTCCCAAAGCCCGTCAGTGCCGTAGACATTGGCTCTCTATCTGTCGTTCGAAAGGTAGCTTAATGTGGGAATTATGGACAAACTGTACCTTGTTCGAAAGCTGCTAAGCAGAGCTACAACATGCGACAACAACCAACAGTTCAGATTCAAGAGTTTTAGAGAAAATGCAAGACTTAGTCCGCTACTTTTGTTTTGTGCCGTAACTCACAAAGCAACGCCCGTAAGGGTCGTTGACATTGGATCTCTATATGTCGTTCAAAAGGTACCTTAATATGGAACATTGTTGACAAACTCTACCTTGTTCAAAAGCTGCTAAGCAGGGCTACAACATGCAAAAACAACCAAGACTTCAAACCCGGGACTTTTGGAGAAAATGCAAGATATAGTAGCTTAGTCCGGCTGGTTTCGTTTTGCTTAGGTACTCCCATAGCAAGGCTAGACTTGTAGACTCTAGATGTCGTTTAAAAGGTAATATGAACAATTATAGATAAACTCATACCTTGTTTGAAAGCTGACTGAGCAGGGCTACAACATGCAAAACAACCAAGACTTCAGAGCAAAGGCATTTAGAGATAATGCTATGTAGTAACTTAGTCCGGCTAGTTTCATAGCAAGGCCCGTAATTATAAGAGGCGTGGACATTGGCTTACTATTTGTCGGTTAAAAGGTACCTTAATATGGGTAATTATAGACAAACTGTACCTTGTTCAGCTGAACAGGGCTACAATATGCAAAGAAACCAAGACTTCAGACCGAAGACTCTTAAAGAAAATGCAATATAGAGTAACTCAGTCCGGCTAATTTCGTTTTGTGCATGCAGTTCTTCCATACTTAGCAAGGCCCGTAAGAGTCGAAGACATTGGCTCTCTATGTGTCGTGCAAAAGGTACCTTATTGTAGAAAATTATAGACAAACTTTAGTTTGTTCAAAAGCTACTGAGCAGAACTACAAATTGCAACAAAAACCAAGACTTCAGACCCAAGACTTTTAGCGAAAATGCAAAATATAGTAACTTAATCCGGCTAGTTTCGTTTTGTGCAGTTCTCCCAGAGCAAGGCAGGTCAGCCCAGGCAAAATTGGCTCTCTATGCATGTCAAAAGATGCCTTAATAAGGGAAATTATCTAGACAAGCTCTCCCTACAATTTCTAACTTTGAACCTTGACTACAAGCAGACGCAAAATAAAAACCTACACACCTACCCTATTTTCGAATGCCATATATGTGATCGGCAGCAGAACTATTTTCTTTGTTTTGCCTAAAGGTCTAATAATGCATGCACGAAACATTAATACCCTCTAACTTTAGCCCAAAATTTAACTCGACTCTACATCCGAGAATTATTATTCAATACTTCACCAACACTTACTAAATTTACATTACCAAATTAAAATGCATTTAGTTTGCTTTAAACAACACTGTATGTTAACTGTATAAAAGTGCACGACTGGCTCTCTATGTCTCATTAAAAAGGCACCTTAAAATGCAGGTCAGCCCGGGCAAGATTGGCTCTCTATGCATGTCAAAAGATGCCTTAATAAGGGAAATTATAGACAAGCTCTCCCTACAATTTCTAACTTTGAACCTTGACTACAAGCAGACGCAAAATAAAAACCTACACACTTACCCTTAGCCCCATAAATGTGGCCTATTTACTGGACTGCCTCCGTAAACATAGGCCACACGTCCACATGTACAAAAATCGTGTCGACTTTGCCAAGTTTTGATTTTCACATTTAGGCTTAGTTTGTAGGATTTTTTTGCTTTAGAAGCATATACTCACCCACTTTATAGGCTAGTCAGAAAGTGCTGCCTCTTTCAGATGTCTAATTTTTGTGAAATTTCTTGATGAAATTTTGATACGCAAACGTGTAAAAATGAATCTGGAAATTTCACGAAAAATATACATCTGAAAAAGGCAGCACTTTCTGATTAGCCTATAAAGAGGGTGAGTATGCTTCTTAAGCAAAAAAACCCTACAAACTAAGCCTTAATGTGAAAATCAAAATTTGGCAAAGTCGACACGATTTTGTACATGTGGACGTGTGGCCTATGTTTACGGAGGCAGTCCAGTAAATAGGCCACATTTATGGGGCTAACCTACCCTATTTTCGAATGCCATATATGTAATCGGCAGCAGAACTATCTTTTTGTTTTGCCTAAAGGTCTAATAATGCATTCACGAAAACATTAATACCCTCTAACTTTAGCCCAAAATTTAACTCGACTCTACATCCGAGAATTATTATTCAATACTTCACCAACACTTACTAAATTTACATTACCAAATTAAAATGCATTTAGTTTGCTTTAAACAACACTGTATGTTAACTGTATAAAAGTTAAATGTAAATAGAGGATATAGCAATAGCGTTTCCTTTCATGCCTTTATAGTATTGTAGATGTACCCTAACGTGGCGCGGCCCCTAACATCGCGCACTTTGATTGTACGCCTGCAACTACTGTAGCCAGAGCAAAACCTAAAACTGAAATTTCAAAAAAAGTGAAATTTCATCCAGTTCTAAACACTCCCGTTCATAAATCAAGATGTTATCTAGGCCTACCCGTTACCACGTTAGAGGAAGCAATTATTTCGAAGTGATTTTTTATTTTATTTTCGAAGTTCATTCGCAGTGAACCCTTTGGAAAAAGTCGCCCCAAATATATACTTCTAGTTGGGTATGCAAGTAAAGATAATAATGGTTTATCAGAATTTTACAACTTTACGGGAATTGTGCCCAATTTCCGGACGGCACCGTTTTTGAATTCCATGCTTATCATTTTCATGACACTAAAATTGTTCACAAAGGTAAAATACAAGTAGCAAGCATTTACAAGGTAAAATGACCACTATTTCACAGCATGAATTTGAAGTTTGTCAACAAAGAAGTTTGGCAACACACTCATGAGGAATATCGGTGTAAACATTGAAGTGCGCCACGTTAGGGAACACCACGTTGAGTGATGGGAGCTCGGAGAGAATTGAAGTTCACAACCTTACCGTACACTCCAGCCGCCATTTTACGTTCGGTGTGAGAAGAATCAACGGCACACTTTCCTCGTCGGAAGTTGTCCTCCCGTCTGTGAGACTCGGTCAGTTTAAAGATAGTCCTCTTCCCTGTTCGTTCCTGGAATTCGTACCTCAAACTGGCAGCATTTGAAAGCGCTCAAACCTCGCCTTTTGCATGACTTCGAGACGGTGAAATCTACAAGAATGTGCCATGGCTGAGCGATAGCTCTCATGCACACGTGCATTATTACCAACGCAATGTGCGTTTCGTTTGGTTTCGTTGCAACGTTGGTACTTGTCACAGGCAGCGTGCGCGTATACGCGCGCGCCGTGCACGCGTGCGCTCTGCTGTGACGTCATCTAAAGTTATTGCGTGGGCGCGCGATGCAATCATCACGTCGGGCTTTTAATTAGCTCACACCTTTTATCGACAAAATCCATAATAATTTTGCAGGTTTTTCCTTGTGACTGATATATACGAATTCCCAGCTTTGTCACAGTTACGGCTTCAGAGAATAATGCATGTCGGTATGTCCCGAGCCCTGATGACACCACTTGGCAGACTTGGCCCAAGTCAAGAATTTGGTGTCTCAAGTTAAGTTATAATTCTCCAAAAAACAAAAATGTATAACCATGTCAGTGACATGGTCATATGTTTTTTTCCCCTTCTTTACCCACCAAATTATGTCCCCCAAGGCCAATCATTTATTTGGGTGAATTTGTTTTGTCGGGTGGGGGTCTTCTAATAAGAAACCCCCAACAAAATAAAAAAAATTGCTACAGTTTAATCCCGCCCACTTTGTATATGTACAAAATTATCATGAATTAACAAAAGTATTATTTTGGTGATGGATTCAGATTTACTAAAGTTATGAAATAAAAACAACTTGTCTTTTTTTTCACACTGCAAAGCATAAATGTCGCCCTCTCTTGTTGCAAAAGCCCAGGGTAGTTTGGTAACCAACTTGGCACATACAAATTCGCTGAAATTTTCAAGGCAGGCAACGAAACCCTGATGTGGCACCAGTCTAAAAACTAATACTGCATTATTTTTTTCGGGAACCGTGAAACAAATCGACACTTTGACACGTCTGATGAATTCCTGCATTTGTGACCTCCAGAGTTTCACGATTTCGATGACAGTTTGACGGATGGTGAGTTTATGCATTTATTTTGATTGATGAACCATATTTCAGGATAAAATGTCTAAGTAAAGGTGTGATCGTATGATCATCGTCATGTCGTGGGGCCGGCCGGTGTCACGGCTTGTCACTTCTGTTGTTGTCAATGTCAGTAGTCACTAGTATATTTCACCCGTTTGGCGATCATGTAGCTAGCTCTACTGAGTGGAACGTTGAACTACCCCTACCATGCCTACGGTACCTCCGTACTAAAGCTCCGCCGATTTGGCATACTTTGGTGACAGGCACCTACGCTGTATGCATACCCTTGCGAGGACAAAAAGCCCCAAAAAAACTGGTACATGTAAAGAGAATAAAAATGAGGAAGACAGTCCCTAACCCTGGATCGATCCTAGTCCGAGTAACTTGGACCCAACTTATCGCCTTTTTTAACATTTGGACATGGTCTGGCAATAGTAAGGTCCAAGCTAATACCGCGAGCTGGACAACACCGTCCCAAAAACCAACATTTCCCAACAAAAAACATCAGATTTCACCTTCAAAACGGCCTCCAAATTACTAGAAAGATATGCCACCTGAGGTACTACAAGTAGACATCGATGATTAAGATGGTTGTACTGAAGTTTACTTACGATCCGGAAAAAAGTGAAATTTTCCGTTTATTTCGGAGAGCTCCCCTCGCGATCTTGAACACGTTAAATTTCCGATCGTGTTTAATGTTTGAACGACGCGATTTCTTCTTCATGCCCAGCGTACATTCGATGGTCCCCGTATCCCGAGTGCGATTCCGTTACCGAGCGCGCGCGATGCATCGATTATGATAATGATCACGTTTGTAAACGCATACATGTGCATTTCGAACTGTAAAAGGGAATCGGGAACCAGCTTGAACTGGTATCCGCCATAAAAGCTGCGCTAGTTCCCGACTCCCTATTATCGTTTGAAATGCACATGTGTTTACAAACGTGATCCAGTCTACTCATTATCATAATCGATGCATCGCGCGCGCTCGGTAACGGAATCGCACTTGGGATACGGGGACCATCCAATGTACGCTGGGCATGAAGAAGAAATCGCGTCGTTCAAACATTAAACACGATCGGAAATTTAACGTGTTCAAGATCGCGATCGCGAGGGGAGCTCTCCGAAATGAACGGAAAATTTCACTTTTTTCCGGATCGTAAGTAAACTTCAGTACAACCATCTTAATCATCGATGTCTACTTGTACCTCAGGTGGCATATCTAGTAATTTGGAGGCCGTTTTGAAGGTGAAATCTGATGTTTTTTGTTGGGAAATGTTGGTTTTTGGGACGGTGTTGTCCAGCTCGCGGTATTAGCTTGGACCCTACTATCGCCAGACCATGTCCAAATGTTAAAAAAGGCGATAAGTTGGGTCCAAGTTACTCGGACTAGATCGATCCACACATTCATTGCAATAACCGTCCTAAGTAACTTTCATATTTTAAGTCAAGTTAGTCAACTGAATAAACATGTATCTGCTCATGGGTGCTAGCCATGATTTACACTGAAGATAGTTTGTGTATTTTCATTCCCAAATTGGTAAATTAGGCAGAAAGTACGTACATATCACTTTCTATATTTCTGAATGAAAAAAAAAAATACAACTCTCTTCGTTTTACAATGGCTTTTTGCTAAACTGATTTAGATTGTGATAGTTTGTTCATGTTTTTTCCATGGTCAGATCACATACCTGTATCCTGTCACGAAAGTCATGTAAATGCAGCATGGAAAATGTAGGTAGAGACAATCTACCCTTCACATAGAGTGAGATCTTCTGCCAGTCAGACCTGTCGACCCCCCCCCCCCAGGATATTTAGCTCCGCCCATCTGTGACCCCTGACCTCTGACCCCACAATGTCTGACGGCTTGATGGATCAGGATCAGGAGAGCGCCCCCTTGGCAGGGAAGAAGGGAAAACCGAGCAAGAACATCGAGTGGGGGAAGTTTGGATTGAAGGAGGACCAGCCCGGCGAGAATGGTGCAGCGCTGGCAGGGGAGGGAGATGGGTACCAGACCGGCGGGGGCAAGGAGAAAATCCAGGAGCTTTATGATGAGCAGCAGGTGAGATCAAATTACTAAATTAGTCCAAAAATCACGGCCGGTACGTTTGTGTGGACTTCCAGGATCTGAAATGTCCTTAATACTGTGTATTAGCCCCTCTTGGAGTTCCCTTTGACTCATCCACATTGATCTGATCCCAATTTAATCCCTCTTTTATGTTTCTCCTACCAACCCTGCATGCTTGTGTGTCAAATGTTTCGCCTCTGAAGAAGATCCTGTTAATGCCAGGATTATTTTGAAAAGCAAAATATGTACATGTACATGTACATGTAGCAGCCAAGTTCTGTATACAGCCAAACACCACAAAAACTTGATTCGCAAGAGTCATTTCAACAGTATTTTCAATTACAGTGCAATATTTCTTGCCAAAACCTCATACATGTATTTTTCGACAGGGGTGAATCGAGGCATGCTTGATGTTTAGCCTGGCAGCTGTGCCTGTGTATAAAAATAGGCAACTGGTGCGTGTTAATACAGCCTCCAACACAAACTGGTTAAGATCGCAACGCCAGGCCGTCTTCATTTTTTAGATTTGGATCTTGCAGTTAAAACCAGTCAAAAAGCAGTTTGCAGCGGTTTTTTTCATTTTCACAAATGTGTTCTTTGTCAGTTTGTGTAACAATTGCAAAATAGACACTTACATGTATGGCATGTACATGTACACGTACTGTCTTTTGGTAGGGGACTTTTCCTGATAATACCGAGCTACATGTACACAAAATCCACAACAAATCCCATGTTGATTTGTCAGGATTTTTGTTGCAGTAGGCCTATTATTGCTGTAACTTTCATTGATAAGTTTGGATTGTATCGATTCTTTGATCTTTCTTATGTTCAGGATGTCAGGGTTTGATTCTAACATCAGTTAATTTCAACCAAAAAGTTGGTTAAATAAATACATGTGAAATAGGGCTAGGTCCATTTTCGAAATATTTGATTATTCGAGACTGCACCTGACCGAATTTTTGAAAAGTCGAAACTCGACGATCAAGTTCTACACATGCCGGCTGCAGCTGCCTTCCTCCTTGGTCAAAAGTTGCATACAAAACGAGCCAGTTAAAATTTGCATGCGGCAATGGATATTACAATGTATGTTCTACTGTAGTATCTTGCAGTATGTATGCCATGCTTTTGTATTTATGTACATGTAACTGTCAGTGGACTTTTACCCAGCTAAAAGAATGAGACTATGAAGCCCGGGAAGGGACAGGGTGGAATTTTTTTTTGTAATTTGCTAATTCGTTCGCACGAATTGCTAACTCGTTCCCATGAATTACTAATTCGTTCGCACGAATTGCTAATTCGTTCGCACGAATTGCTATTTCGTTCGCACGAATTGCTAATTCGTTCGCATGAATTGCTATTTCGTTCGCACGAATTGTTAATTCGTTCCCACGAATTAGCATTTCGTTCGCACAATTTCCTAATTCGTGAGAACAAATTGCTTACTCGTGCATCCGGGAACGCGTTACTAATTCGTGGGAACAAGTTGGTACTTCGTGGGAACAAATTAGCAATTCGTGGGAACGAATTAGCAATTCATGGGAACGAAATAGCAATTCGTGCGAACGAGTTAGCAATTCTTGAGCACGAATTAGCAATTCATGCGCACGAATTAGCAATTCGTGGGAACGAATTAGTAATTCGTGGGAACGAATTAGCAAATTACAAAAAAAAAATTCCACCCTGTCCCTTCCCGGGCTTCATATGAGACCAATAAAGTGGCATGTGACAATAAAAAAACTCAAAGTTACGATTAAAATAAAATCTCGTGTGTGCATGTGCATAGTTTTTTTTTTCTCTGAATATTCCAATCGGGAAAAACTATTTGAATTTGGTTGATGATCCAATAAGCCTACATGTATTCACATTCTTTATAAATATTATGGACAGCCCTTATGTAAAAGTGTTATGAGTTAGTTACTAGAAGTAGGCTAATATATTAATTAATTTGTTGGAAAACAGGGTTTTTTACAAGTATTAATTTAAAGGGAACACAACATTTGCAAACATCGGGGAAAAAAAACTACATTTAAAAAAAAAATGCCTTACTAGGATGTTGGTAAATGACAGCCTAAAGCATCCTGTAAAATTATGGCACCAGGTGTGAAGTCATTTTCAAGAAAAGTGGTATTTTGTATAAATTTCCAACGGTGGTCGGCCGACCACCGTTGGAAAAACCTAACTATTTTTCAGCTACTGCTCCAAATTTACAATTTTTTTCAGTCAAAATTTTGTTTGCTATTGGTTACATGTTCATGAACGGGTGCAGGCCAGCTAGACTTGTTCTATTACATTGTACCTTACAAATTTCCGGCATCTATAAATTGATCCATTTCATCTTTAGTGGAGTCAGGGAACCAGACTACTTAAACATTTTCGATCATAAAACTTCAAACATGTCAGTGGAACAATATTTGATTATACTAACCCCTCAAATAGTTCATTTCTGAAAATTACAGCAAAAGCTAATGATGTACATTCCCTTTAACGTAAGAAAGCAAGGTTGGTTCTACATGTATGCATGATGACACGGAAACAGAAATTTCAAGGAAAATAACTAAATGTTGCTTATACTGAAGTGCACTTAATGTATTGGGTGCTAAAAAAATGTGTATCTGAAAATTTGATAAATCTTTAAAAAGACCTACATTTTTACAGTATATGCTGTCTCTATTTCAAAATTAAATTGATAATTTAAAATACAAACTTGCATCAAATATGCAGTCAATATTGTAATGTGCAATTCAAGTGTGCATGAGCACATAATTATTATCTTCTAAACGAACTTAAAAAATATGAAATGGTCCACCGTTAAAATGCAACGTCCAACATTTCTTATTCAGAAATGGCATTTTAAGAAAAAAAACCTGCTCCAATATCAAATATGCAGTCAACATTGTAATGTACAATTCAAGTGTTCTTGCAATGAGCACATAATTATTATCTTCAAAACGAACTTAAAAAATATAAAATGGTCCCCCGTTAAAATGCAACGTCCAACATTTCTTATTCAGAAATCGCATTTTAAGAAAAAAAACCTGCTCCAATATCAAATATGCAGTCAACATTGTAATGTACAATTCAAGTGTTCTTGCAATGAGCACATAATTATTGTCTTCAAAACGAACTTAAACAATATAAAAGGGCCCCTCGTTAAACTGCAACGTCCAACATTTCTTATTCAAGTAATCGCATTTTAAGAAAAAAAACCTGCTCCAATATCAAATATGCAGTCAACATCGTAATGTACTATTCAAGTGTTCTTGCAATGAGCACATAATTATTATCTTCAAAACGAACTTTAAAAATATAAAACGGTCCCCCGTTAAAATGCAACGTCCAACATTTCTTATTCAGAAATCACATTTTAAGAAAAATAACTGCTCCAATATGTCACGAAGATTAATCATTAGCCAGAATACCCAGTTCACTATTTGCCTAACTCAAAGGCCAATTTTGTGCAGTGTTAAGACGTAGGCAGGTTACGAGCCGTACGCAGTCAACGCACACACACACACAGGACATGAACTCAAATGTCAATCGATTCAATGCGTGGAATTAAACAGCGTCAACGCCTATTGGGCGTCTGTGGTTGATTCAGTACAAAATTTGTTTATCTAAATTTTGTTGATTAACTGTAGTGTTAAGTGTGACGCTATTTGCTTCTTGTTTTTCTATGTTATTACCAGTCAAGTCAGTCAAGTTTTGTGTGTTATTGTGTAATCAGGTTAACTGCACTTGTATGTAAGTACCGGTACACATGGTACATGTAACATTTGATAGCCTTTTTATGTGTGACGTGTGTGCATCCACGAGAAAATTAATACACATGTATATTTTTTTGTCTCGTTTGGAAAATAACATACAATATATCTAAGCCAAACAGTACATTTTGTATTGATCAAGTTAAAAAGTCTTGTTTGAGGCACACAACACATAGCACTTAAATACTTCCAAATAAGCATTTAAATGTTGTTTACATGAACAGTCGAGTCTCGTTAATACAAACTCGTTCGGACCTAGCCAAATTGTTTGTTATGTCAGAATTTTGTATTAAGAGGTACATCAGTCCCATTCATTGTGCACATAAATGCACAGTCGGGACTCAGGCTTTATGTTTGTTATAACCAGAATTTTGTATTAATAGAGTTTGTACTAACGAGATTCGACTGTAGTATAATTACAATCAAGGGAAATGAAATGTTTCTTATTATTTAGCTGTACATGTCACAACAACTAGTATACTGCACAGAGAATCTATACATGTACAGTACCATATGTTAGAACTACATGTACATGTACATGTATTACAATGCAACAATATCCATATATGCATGAACAAGCAGCTCCAATGTTGCGGACAGATAATTTATGTAAATAACTGCAATACATGATGTACATGTACATTATCAGTTGAAGGCTTCTGAAGACCTATTTGTTTACTCCTGAATCATACCCCTCACTGGTGTTATCAAATCAAAAAAGATCAAAAATATAATTTTGAAGAACTTTGTAAAAGGAGATTGCCTGGAGCCATTACTCTACCAACTGAGCTATCCAGCCAGGCTACATGTACATGATCAAAGTATCTGTTCAATTTTGAAAAAATTAACACTCAAATTTGAGAGCTCAAAATTAAGTTTTGCTGCATGTGTAATTTATTTTGTCTAATAAGTTACAACTGCTCTCTTTATTTCTTATTTACCCTGGGGAAACCTCTCAGTGGAACAGGTTTTTTTGAGAGGTTCCCAGCAATTATACAGTACAATTCATTAAAATTCCAATTACAAAAAACACTTTAAAAATAGTAGTAAACAGTAAAATGCGGGGTACATAAAAACACATGAAGTAAAATAATCCTGGGACCAGCCAATAAAAATAAATATCCAGACACACAGAAAAAATAAAATGAAAAAAAACAAATACATTTATAGCACCCATGCACAGCATGCGTTCAACCTGTGAGAACTATAACATTGAATCGTGCGCATAAATTG